TCAAAACCCCCTTCCCCTCCCCCTTTTCTGATGAAGGGTCTAGGCCCGAAACGTCAGCCTCTCTGCTCCTATGATGCTGCTTGGCCTGCTGTGTTCATCCAGCCCTGCACCTTGTTGTCACCATTTATGACTGAACTGTTTGAAAATTGTGAACTCGCTGTTGTGTGGCCTTGATTATCTTTAAGAGTTTATGATGCAAATCTTAAGGAATGCTTTTGCATTTATTTTAGTGCCCCTTATAATGTAAACACTTTAACATGTTTTAAAGCCAATAAAGTACAATAAAATTCCTTGTTATCTGGATCCCAGCAGCCAGAATTCTCATGCAGCCTGCATCTGAAATTCAAAAGTGTTGATAAGAGATTTTACTATTATCAGCTATTCAAAAGGAATAATAGGTCAGATGCTTAGTTAAAGCTAGTTCAAGACTTGCCTTACTGATGAAGACAGAATCACCTATTATGGTCAGCTGTACTGTTATTTATGAGCAGTCCTAGCCATTAGTAATAAACCACATGTTCATTTGTGGCTGGGAAGAGTTGAGTTCTCCCAGCCGCCACTTGTAGTTCTTATTCTCTTCTAGGGGCGTTCCCTCCCTTATGGCATTGTGGGCCTACTCCCATTAGGTGGACTGCAATGGTTCAAGAAGGCAGCTCACCACCACCTTCTGAAGGGCAACTAGGGATGGGGAATAAGTGTTGGCCAGGCAGTGACACCTACGTCCCACAGTAATCTTCCACCCCTACCTGGTCTGGCCTACATGTGGTTCCAGAACCACAGCAATGTGGTTGACTCTTAACTGCCCTTGAAATAGCATAATAAGTCATTCAGTTCAAGGAGGGAGTTAGAATGGGGGACAAAAGGTGACCTTACTAATGATGCCCAGACTCTGTGAAAGACTTGCAGGAAAAAAAAACTTTAATCTCTCATCAGGGAGATGGCATCTCTGACAGTGCAGTATTCCCTCAGCGCTGCATGTGACTTTTAGTCATGATCTGTAAAGTGGGGTTAGACCCTGTACCCTTCTGATTCAGAAGTGAAGAGTGCTACCCGCTGTAACAACTGGCGTAGATTGGAAAAGAGTTGGTTGCTAAACGGCGATTGAACCTTTTTTAAACTGTGTAGACTGGGGATGTTCTATTAATGGGCATCCAAATCTAAACAGTCAAACAGGACATTAATGTTTTTATTTAATGCTCCTACACAAAACAGTATCCTACCAATAAAGACAATTACCTGTCTATGTATTGGCATTTCTTGAAGATTTTCCTGTTTTTCACTTAACCTAAGCCGTCAGGTATATATTCAGTTGACTGACTGTTTCCAAACCCCTGGACTGGAGTTGGAGTTTGTTCTTGATTTTCTCTGCAGGGGCAGCCTGACCAAAAACCCTTGCCTTGACTGAAGTCTGCTGACAACCACGACAAACTTTCTGACTTTGTGTCAGTGCTGATCATCACCGCAATACAGCAGTAAGATGAGCCTGAGTAAAAACCAAAAGAGCTGCAGATGCTGTAAAGCAGAGACAAAAATAGAAATAACAAAGTGTGGAGCTGAAGAATTTCTGAAGAAGGGTCCCATCCTGAAACGTCAACTTTCCTGTTCCCCTGATGCTGCCTGGTCTGCTGTGTTCCTTCAGTTTCACACTGTGTTATCTCTGACTCCAGCATCTGCAGTTCTTACTATCTCACAAAAATAGAAATTGCTGAAAAAGCTCAGCAGGTCTGGCAGCATTTGCGGAAGAGTCACTTGACCCGAAACGTCAACTCTGATTTCTCTCCACAGATGCTGCCAGACCTGCTGAGCTTTTCCAGCAATTTCTATTTTTGTCTCTGATTTACAGCACCCGCAGTTCTTTCTATTTTTGTCTCCAGTAAGATGAGCCTGGTGTCTGTAGCTGAAGGGGAAGCTAAGCTCAAAAAGGCAAGGCAGAGATGTTGTGTATACCCAGCTAGGATCAAAATGAGCAAGAGAGCAAGTGAACAGCCAAGAGATGCAACCTGACCCAGTCATGAACTGGGTATGTGTCCCTGAGCGCAGAGCACTCTTGCTGCAGCATTATATCGATAGTTACCAGTGAGCCTTGAGATGGAGGATTGAAGTGCAGACGCATCTTGTGAAGTGGATTGGAGATGTGACATGAGGGTTCATGGAGGTTGGCACATGTCACGACATGGGGTCCATGTGGCTGGTGCCAATGGAGCATGCCTGTGACTTTGGGCAGAACCTTTATAAGCACTTCATAGTTACTATTGCAATGTGGTAGCCAACTGGCAGAGTGTGATCCCACCATAACAGGAAGAAGGTGAATAAACAGTTAATCCTTTCTAATAACCCATGTTGGCAAGGCTATCAAGTGGAATCCCTGCTCCTTATCTTCAAATAGTGATGGGGGGTTTTATACTGAGGAGGCAGACTTGGCCTAAGTTTAATGTCTAGGTGAAACAGCGCTCCTTCTCATTTACTCAATGCAACTTGGAACTGTTTATCGGGAACAGTGTGTTGACCTCAATCACTTCTTTTCCTGACGACACACATTTTAGATGTTGAAATGCCTCATGCCTAAACTTGCCCTTCACACCCTTGAAATAGCTTTGACTTGAGCTGCAGTCTTGGCGTTCCTGAAAATTTTGAGACTTTATAAAAGATCTCTTTGCCACACAGAAACTGGTATTTCCACCCTGGAATCCTTTTTGTTTTTTCATCACTTAAATCCCCCCTCTCTCTTCAACCCCCCTCTCTCTCTTCCCCACCGCCCCTCTCTTCCGCCCCCCCCCCCCCCAATATGAGCATTTATACCTGTCCCCTTTAATGCAGCTATTCTATTTGCCTATTTGTGGTAGAATGTTCCAAATTCTAACCACTTTCTAGGCAATCAAGTTTTTCCTGAATTCCCTGTTGGATTTACCAGTAACTATCTTGTGTTTGTAGCCCGTAGTTCTGATCTCCTCTGCAAGGAAAAACAGTTTCTCCAATCTCGGCCAATCCAAACCCTTTCAAAATTATAGAATCCCTGTAGTGTGAAAAGAGGCCATTCGCCCAATTGAGTCTACACGGACCCTTGAAGAGCAGCCCACCCTATTCTCTGTAACCCTGCATTTACCATGGCTACTCCACCTAGCCTGCATCTTCTGTGGGAGGAAACTAGAGCACCCAGAGGAAACCCATGCAGACGTTGGGAGAAACTCCTCAGTTGTCAGAGGCTAGAATTGAACGTGGGTCCCTGGTGCTGTGAGGCAGCCACTGTGCAGTCAAAAATATTAATAGGCCTAGGCCTTGGCTAATACTCCCCCCACCCCCACCTTCAGCTTCTTCTAGAGAAAAGAGACTTCGGGAGCTCCATCTTTCCTGATCCATATGACATCTCGTTCTGCTATCATTCTAGTAAAACTTTTTTCTAATGCCTTCCTCTCCAATGCCTCTTACATCCTTTTCATAATGGACTCCAAAGCTGTTCACAGTGCTGCAAGTGTGCTCTAACCAAGGTTCTATGCAAGTTTAATATCACTTCTCTTTCTTCGCTGTAGAAATGAACCCCGTGCTTGCCTTTATTTTTCAGCTACCTTTTCAGCTGCACTGCTACTTTTTAAGTGATGAATGTACCTGTACCCTGAGATCTTCCTGTCCCTCTACTCCATTATTTTCCAACAGGTACCTCTTTCCTGCTCAATCTACATTGTTATGTAGTTGGTGCAGAGGCACTTTTTTCCCTGAGGTCGGAGAACCACAGTTTAGCTTGTACTTTCTTCAGTTTGATCCTGTAACACTAGTGACAAAAACAAGATCCTTGTAGCACAGGGGGAGGCCATTTGGCCCATCATGCCTTTGCCAACAGCTGTCCAATCAGTCCCCTGTCTCTTTCCGTGCAAGGCTTCCAAGTATTTCTACCTAATCGTCATGTTGTATATTTTTTAATCAAATAACCTTTACTCTTTCAAGCCAAAAGACAAGAAATATCTAATTCTTTGAATAAAAAAACTGCGAGACAGGAGATCCAAACTTTAGAACTTATACATAAAAAAATTCTCAGAAGGTGAGCAAGGTTGGGGAGATGGACATTGTCTCAGAGCAACTCAGAACGGACGATCAAAGAGCTGGATTTTATGGTGTCTGATGGCATGAGCAAGTTGAACAGAAACATGGGGTTCGCTTATACCCTCTCCTGGTGAATCAACCATCAAGCTGCCAACTAGCAATAGTGTTGCAGGGGAGTGCAGGTTGGAGGGGGTGGAGTTGATGGTGTTCTGTGTCCAGTCAGGAATCTGGTCTGTGTCTGGTGGGAGAGGGTTTACCCTGGGAACCAAAAGATGGCCTTGGGTGTCAATTTAGAAGCAACTGTTCTCTGTCTTTATTTCTTACCGTAGGCTCAAAATAGAATTATACATACAGCACAGAAGAGACCCTTTGGCATATCATGTTGCCAGAGGTATCAGAAGCTCACCCACCGTTTTCGAAATAACCATTCGACAAGGTATTGAGCCTTGTGAAGATCCAACTGAATATTTTTCAACTATTTATCTGCTTTATTTACCCACTTTTTAAAAAAATAAGTACATGGATGAGCGCTTGAAATGTCCTATTCATAGAATTATAGTCATACAGCACAGAACTATTTATTTACACTAATCTATTTACACAAATCCCATTTTCCAGCTCTAAGCCCATATGACATTTCAAATGCTCACCCACTTATGTTTTAAGCAAATGAATAAAAAAAGTCTTAAAATTCAGTTGTACCTTCAATAGGATCAATAGTTTGTTGATTGGTTATTTCCAAAATGGTGGGTGAGCTTCTGATATCTGTACATGCTTGCCTTCTGAAATATGGGGGAGTGGTGCAATGAGGATATTTGCATTGCTGACCTGATACCATCATGCCGTAATCTGAGTAAGCAGGAGAGGAGGAGAAAGCCTGCCAGATTTCCATCAATAAAACCCAGCCCAAAGTCCTGCTGTTTTCTTTTTGTCCTCTCCTTCCTTTCTTTCTCCTTAACACGTTCTTGTGATTAAACTGCCTTGTTTCCTCCTTTCCCATGCAGTGAATGAGTTCTGGGTGAATGTGCAGAAGACAGAAGCAGCAGAGAGGTGCAATCTTCACGGGACATACATCCTTAAAGCAGACAAGGAGAAGCTCACTCTTAAAGATACCAAAACCGATCAAGTTCTCTTCAACTGGCCCTATAAGCTTCTGCGGCGCTATGGCAGGGACAAGGTAAAATTGGACACAATCCAGTTTGGCAGTTTTCTGACTTAAAATGTTATAAGGAATGTAATTACTGTGTGCCTGTTAAGAAGATCATACAATATTGTATTGCGAAGCCTCAGTTTTAAATAGTCCACCTGTGCCAGTCATGTCTCCAACTGCTTGGGCCGTGCACCATGGGCCCCCATATTGTTTCACTAGCCTCTCAGCCTGTTCACCTCGTTTTTCTCCTTTGTTAGATAGGAGCAAGAGAAGACCATTTAGCTTCTTAAACCTGCTCTGCAATTTAACATAATCATGGCTGATCTCCAACCTCAACTGCACTTCCCTGTCCACTCCCCACATCCCTTGATTCCCTGAGAAAGCAAAAATCCTATCTATCTCAGCCTTGAATATACTCAATGATGGAAAAACCACAAGCCTCTGAGACAATTCAAATGTTCCACAATCCTCGGGAAAAACCTGTTTCTTCACCTCCATTCTGAGACAGTGGGCTAATGGCATCCATTCCCTCTAATGTTTCTGCCAATCTCAGGTCATGGCATGGCCGTGAAAGCCATGGAAACAAAGAAACCAGGAACAGGAGTAGGCCATTTGGCCCTTTTGAGCCTGCTGCACTATTCAGTATGATCATGGCACTGATTGGATGATCAGCCATGTTCCCGCTTTCTCCCTATATCCTTTGATCCCATTAGCCCTAAGAACTATATCTATTTCCTTTTTGAAACCATTCAATGTTTTGGCCTGAACCCCTTTTCTGTGGCAGAGAATTCCACAGACTTGCCACTCTCTGAGGGGGAAGACATTTCTCCTCATCTCAGTCCTAAATGCCTTATGCGGTAGTCAATATGTCTACAAACCAACTGGCATACACAGACCCTCTGAGTGACTTTATGACCGTACAGCTTAGAGGGAACATTGCTGATGGCGAGGGAAAACATCTTGATATCCACCCTCCTAATCACACACACAATCTTGTACGTTTCGATGAAATCTCCCCTGGGCAGCTTTAGTTGCATAGGCTGGGCGTTGAGAATTCTGGTTGTCTTGCTATAGGAAGCATGTTATTGAACTGGCAATGGTGCAAAAAAGATTAACAAGGATGTTACTGAGAGTGGAAAGTTTGAGTTATAAGGAGAGGCTGGGTAAGCTGGGACTCTTTTTTTTTTTCTTTTTCCCTGGAGCGTAGGAGGTTGAGGGGTGACCTTATAGAAGTTTGTAAAATCATGAGGGGCACAGATAAGATGAATAGTCAAGGTCGTCTTCCCAGGGTAGGGGAGTCCAGAACTAGAGAGAGGTTTAAGGTGAGAGGGGAATGATTTAAAACTGACCTAAGGGACAACTTTTTCAAGCAGAGGGCGGTGCGTATTCGGAATGAGCTGCCAGAAGAAGTGGTAAAGACGAGTACAACTACAACAGTTAAAAGACATCTGGACAGGTACATGAATTGGAAAGGTTTAGAGGGTTATGGGCCAATTGCAGGCAAATGGGACTGATTCAGTTTAGGAAACTTGATCAGCATGAATGAGTTAAGACAACTCTAATTAAACTCTCACAAAATGATACAGCGTAGGAGGAGGCCATATGTTCCATTGTGTTTGGTCTGTTAAAGAGGTAGTCAAGCTTAGTCTGACTTCTGTTGCTTTCCGAAAGTATTTACCTAATTCTGTCAGAGCTACTAATGAGTCTGCTTTATCATCCTCTTGCACAGTGCATTCCTGACTATCATCTTTTCTTTTCTTCCAAGCAACGCCCCTCCCTCAACTCACTGCCCAAGGTTCCCTTGGCAATTATTTTTAATATGTGTCCCCCCGCCCCAGTTTTCATTCCCCCATTTATGTGAAACATACAAGCAATTTCTGATGCATTTAACTTTTATAAATGTTATAGGAAGTTAGCAGATGGCTCAAAAAAGAAATGCTGCATGAGGCTAATCTTTAAATCACTTCAAATTATTTATGTCCTTGGATAGAAACTGAAGTACTGCAGGAAAAGCAAATTCACTCTCTTTACATCATTTTGGTTATCAGCGAGCTACTTAGAAAGCTCTTTGGTGCATCCTAATTATAACTTTACTGTGGTTGCAAGGCTGACAAATACAGACAGCCTCCTGATCTTAACACCTCAAGCCAACTGTAACATTGCACATTTTGTTTTTCCATTCCCCAGCTCAAGGCCACGTGGCCTTTGACAGTGTATCACCTGCTGAGTTTAATTTTCCAGCTTGAGGTATTAAGTTTTATTAAAATTTGCTGCACAGAGGATGTGGCTCACCAGAGGAAACCCAGCTCCAAGTGTCTTGACGCAGACTCTGCGCTTGAGTTCTTCACGATCACTCAGTGACATAAGGCCCAAATGCACTAAAGACTGAGGCCGCCTGTTTTTGCCTTGTCACACAGCAATAGTTTATTTTTGGTTACGTAGGACTTGCAGCACAGAGTCCATTTAGCTCCATATTCTGCTCCACACAAGCCACCTCCAACTACACTTACTTCATTTGTTTTTGTCCACATGCATCTATCTAGTTTTGCCTTAAGTGCATCTATACTGTTTTGCGTGGTGACACTTGTCACATCCTGATCTGAAGAAGGGTCTCATGATTTGGTTTTTAGGATTATCAGTGATTCTCCTAGCATTTTATTTCCCCCAAGTCTTGGTCTCCTCCAATTGGGAATATCTCAGTTTTTTAAGATAATTATTTAGTGGGATGTAGGCATCACTGGCAAGCAGGTTAGATTAGCCACAGCCACTGGGAAGCTCTGTGCTGGCTGACTGGCACGCCAATAAACAGTGTCCGCTTCCAGGAGTCACTCCCTCGCATGGACCTTGGAGACCTGCACAGCAGCGAATAAAACGTTGCAGGGAATGTTCCTGGCAAGGCCAGTATTCAACCTTCCCTCATTGCCCTTGAATTGAATGGCTTGCTGGGTCATTCCAGAGGGTCGCTGAGAGTGTGTCATGTTGCAACAGTGAACAAGTAGGCAAGTTCAGGATCACCGATTTCCAAGAGCAAGCCAAATATGTTTTTGTTACAAATAAAAGCTAGTTTCAGAAATGGTAATGTTGAAAGTTTCACTTCCTGATTCACGAATAGAATTTAAATTCTTCCAGCTACGGTGGTGAGATTTGAATACATATCCCCAGAGCATTGGTGTTAGTCTCTAGACTCTTAGGCCAACACCTCGCTGTATCCAGCCTGATAATCTCTTTTTGTGATTTTAAAAGAGCTCTATGATCTTTGCATTTTTTTGTTCATACCATAAGGACAAGCTAGTTCAGCAAATAAGTAATAAAGCAAATGCAGATCGGGTTATGTGAACGGAGATGGGAGGAGGTAAGTGTGGAGAGCATGCATGGTGGCTCAGTGGTTCACACTGCTGCCTCACACAGCATCAGGGACCCAGGTTTGATTTCACCCTCGGGCAGCAGTCTGTGTGCAGTTTGCACGTTCTCTCCTTGTCTACGTGGGTTTCTTCTGAGTGTTCCAGTTTCCTCCCACAGTCCAAAGATGTGCAGGTGAGGTGGATTGGCCTGGGGAAATGCAGGGTTACAGGGATGATGGTGGGTCTGGGTGGGATGCTCTTTCGAGTGTCTGTGTGGACTCAATGGGTCAAACAGCCTGCTTCCACACTGTGGGGATTCCATGATCCTATGGTCTAGTTGACTAAAGATCAATTACACTGAATGGCCTAATTCTCTACTAGAGACTTGACCAAAACTTGATACACTCTGTCAACTTCTATTTGTGGAGACTGAGGTTCTTCGCAATGAACAGTGTTGTGCTTTTGTATTGCATTATCATGACAAAAAGCAGCCAATGCGCAACCATTATAAATTGGTGTGGGTATCAGCTAACACACAGAACAGTGAATAACTTGCTCGAATCTCAAATGTTTCCAAAGCATCACACTTCTCAGCCACAGCCAAGTGGGTAACACCATTACTGTTGAGTCAGAAGATAGTGTTTTTTTTTAATTCATTTAGTGGATGTGGGCATCACTGGCTGGGCTAGCATTATTGCCCATCCCTTATTGCCCAGAGGGCAGTTGAAAGTCAATCGCATTGTTAGGACTCTGGAGTCACATGTAGGCCAGACCAGGTAAAGATGACAGTTTCCTTCCCTAAAGGACATTAATGAACAGATGGGTTTCTCCAACAATCGGCAATGGTTTTATGGTCACCATGAGAGTCTTAATTCCAGATTTTTATTGAATTCAAGTTCCACCATCTGCCGTGGTGGGATTCAAATTTGTGTCACTGTAATATTAGCCTGGGTCTCTAGATTAATAATCTATTAATAGATACAATATATCACTTTACCATTGACTCCCCACAGTCAACATAAAAATCTTGGCTGAGACTTTAGTGCAGTACAGGGAGAGGTGCTACGTTGTCAGGTACAACATTTCGCAAGATGTTAAGCAAAGTTTTCTTCTGCCATGTTAGGTAAAGGTAAAAGCTCCCATGGCAAGGCTTTTCAAAGATGAGCAAGGGAGGTCTGGACATTGTCTTGGTTTTTGCTTCTGAAATACTGTATGATCAGTCTCGTACTGCTGTGGATAGGTTCTGGGTGCATACACGTTTGCTGCATCATTTTCTACATTGCAATAGTGACTAAACAATCGAGGAAGATGCAACATTTCACTGAGCTTTCATGTGAGTTTCTTTTCTTGTGAAAGTAACCCTGACTATGGGTGTCACCTTTTTTTAAACTGGGGATTTTTCTCGTCTTCCTGGCAGGTCATGTTTTCGTTTGAGGCTGGGCGCAGGTGTGATTCCGGAGCGGGGAACTTCACCTTCGAGACAAAGCATGGCAACGACATCTTCCTGCTGGTGGAAAGCAGTATCCTGGAGCAGAAAGCCCAGGCCGAGGGGAGCCGCCGAAGCTTTCCACCGTCGGAGACAGGCGACCACACCGCCTTGAGCTCATTGGAATGGAGCCCTGAATGTCTGTCACTTGATGCGTCTTCAGCCCTTTCCTCCGAGGTGGTGATGGTGGTCGGCAACGGCAGCCCTGACCACAAATCCAGTTTACCCGAGGGGCTGGCGGCGGCCCCCAAAAAGGAGCAGCGAGGCTCCGAGGAGAAGGACTTGTCCAAACTCCTCAAAAACCGGAGCCTTCCAGAGCCTCCGGGCGTGGGGCCCCCGACACCGCCGAGATCTCCCAAAATGCCTGCGTCGAATGCCGATCCGGCCTCCATTTACTCCGATCCCGTGGATGCCCTGACTGTCGGCACGTGTGGCTCAGACCGCCTGTACTCCGAGCCAGTTGACAGCGTCCTGCCATGCAAAGCCCAAGATCCAGCAGCCCGGAAGGGCTTCAAGGACAGGAGGGCGCCCGGGCAGAGGGCGGAACCTCTGTATGCGGACATTTACGAGCGGCTGAACCAGGATTTCTCCCGGCTGGCCGTCACCGGCCCGGCGGAGGAGCACATCTATGACGAGCCAGAAGGCCGGGCATTCCAGCAGGTCCCGGAGGCCAGAGCTCCCTACCCCCTGCCCGCCTTCACTGCCATCTATGACCAAGCTCAGCCGGCAGACTCAGCTGCTTGGAAAAAGAAGGGCTGCGCGGCGGGGCACCCTGGTAAAGACAACAGCTCAGGCCCACCTCCCCTGAGGGGTGTCGAGACACCAGCCACCAAGCCAAAAAAACCCAAGCCCTTGCCTGCACCGAAACCCACCAGCGGGCCGTTTGCAAAAGACAAACGGGCAGACTTCAAGGAGATGGGGATGGAGCTAGCTAACTCTGAGCGGCTGGCTCTTAAAACCAATTTCAACAGCTCAAATAACTGCATCTACAGTGAGGTTGTGAAGCCCAAAAGGCCACAGAAAGAAGTGTCAGTGGATGACTTCAGCATTAACCCAGAGTCAATCTACGAAGATCTTGGGAACCTTTGACGGGTTTAGTCAGCTTTTCTGGACATCTCTTTGTTTTGGCTCTTAAAACAAAATGTGGTCCTTCCTTCACGTGTATTTCTGCGAGTGCTGTCTCAAGCAGGGATACAATATTGTTACCTCATCTTATGAGCAGCAAAGATTAAACTATGATAGTTATCATTGGTATTTCCTTGTGTTCAACTAAATTGTGAAACTGAGATGGATTTTACACACTGAGATACAAAAGGTTGCAGCTGTAGAAAATGTTTTCACAGACTCAGGTACCAGAATTGACAAATTTCTTCTCTCTATTAAATGTGAAAAGAGCTCTAATATGATTGTGATGTACCCTAGCTCAGTTCCTCTTGGGCTTGTGGTGGTACATGTAGCGGGACATCAACAGTCCAATTTTCTTAGACACCGACTTGGCCCTGCTTCCTAGTTTTGGTGGACCATGTGGAACGAGGATTTCTCCATTCATCCTGAGCAGAAACTTCAAGCCGGCACCTGTTTACAATGCTCCACCTGCCATGCGGTGAGATGTAGGAGGACTCTATTGAGAGATGGGCGAGACAGCGAGGAGAAGGTATGATGTTGGGAAACCTCTTGCAAAAGATGGACGAGAGGATTGTGCCACAGAAGTAGATAATGTTTCCTACACACGTGGTAGCAGAGTGCGTAAATGGTGATACTGAATTGGGAACACATTTTTGTCACCAACTACCTGTGGTGAAAGAGACCTCACCAACATGTACTGTGAAGTTTATTTTTTAGAATAAAAACTTAACTTTTCATGACAGACTGTTTGCCAGATCTTTTCTTTTACAGTGGCCATGTCGACTTTTTATTTCCTCTTTATTTACAAGATTATTTTATTATTCCAGAGCCATTATTGATTTCTGTTATGTGTACTGTGCTTTGAGGATGCATGGATTTATAGAATCAATCTGTAAATTCTGTTTTGTGATCCTGCTTCACTGTTCACAAAGGTAACTCTCATTGATGCTGCAGTTAGGAGTAAAAACAATGTGGGTGAATGATGGTTTAGTTTATCTGTCTCTAAATTCAGTTTCTTGCACCATCGACTTCTTACCAAGTTGCTGCTGCACAGGGTCTCAACGTTGATTTTTGTTTTTTTTTATCTACACAGTCTTCCTTTTAGAGAAAAGTGCCAAGTGGTTGAAGGATTGGCAGGCTCATGGGCTGTACTATGAATACTCCAGTAGCCAGCCATTGACCAAAAGATGGGGCATTAGCCCTAGATATTGGGAAGGCTTTATGAACTATTGCAGTCCATTTAATGAAGTGAGGATGTCACTTACTTCCACTCACTGGGTTTTTCATCTCGTAGGAACTGCACTCAGAGTCCGGAACCACATCCATTTGCCAGAGCTTTCTGGAACAGTTTTCAGAGCTGGGAATACAGACCTTGAGCTAAACACTTGCTGGCTGAGGGATTGGGAAGAGGAAGATAAAAATAGCAACACGTTGCCTTTAACCATCGTTTCTGTTTTGTGACCAAGTAAACTTGTTGGAGGTTGACAGCAGCCACCCAGTGATCCTACTTCTGCAAAGTTGTAGGCCAAGCTTTATAATTACAAAATACATACAGCATAGAAACAGGCCATTCAGTTCATCAATCTCTACCAGTTTATTACGCTCCACATAACCCTCTCTCTCCCATCAAATTATCCTTTTATTCCTTTCTACCCTACTGTTTATTTAGCTTTCTCTTTCCGCTTTCACTACCCGATGGTCGCAAGTTCCATATTCTAACCAAACTGTAGGCTATGCCTGACGTTTTGAATTCATCTTTGAATGAATTGTGTTAGAACATCAGAAGAGAAGTGTAGAACTGGCAAGTTTTGAATTTCGACCTTGAATTTCAAAATTTACAGATGGACCAAAACTTGGAGGGATTGTGAGCTTGGCAGGATGGTGATGGATGTAAAGAGTCAGGTCGATTGGGCATTCAGAATTAATGCAGACAAATTTAATGCAATAAATGGAGAAATTTTGGTTGAAAAATATGCAATCTGAAAGGGGTTACAGGAACAGCAACAGCGAGCTGGGGCTGTATGTGCACAAATTGACGGTGGCAAGATAAGGTGACAAAGGTTAAAAGGGCAGAGAGTATCCTGCACTTTACACACAGGTATTTTTTCTTTCTTTCTTGCTTCATTCATGGGATGAGGGTGTTGCTGGCTAGGCAGTACTTATTGCCCATCCCTAATTGTCCAGAGGGCAGTTATGAGTCAACCACATTGCTGTGGGTCTGGAGTCACATGTAGGGCAGATCAGGTAAGGATGACAGCTTCCTTCCCTGAGGGACATTAGTGAACCAGATGGGGTTTTTCCGACAATGGATTCACAGTCATCTTTAGATTCTTAATTCCAGATATTTTATTGAATTCAAATCCCACCATCTGCCATGGTGGGATTGAACCTGGGTGCCTAGAATGTTATCTGGGTCTCTGGATTAACAGTCCAGTGATAATACTATTAGGCTATTGCCTCTGCCAAATGATACGAAAGCAAGGAAATAATGATGAATGTTTAGAAAACCCTGGCTGATCCTCAACTGGAGTATTTGAGTATCCTTGTTAAACAAGGTGCTCAAAAGTTATCAAAAATGCGTGGGAATGTTAGATCAGCCATGATCCTATCGAATGGTGCAATAGGCTTGAGGGGCTGAATGACCTCCTTCTGGTTCATTTTTGGACACTATTTTGGGATGAATGTGAGGGCTGTAGAGAGGATATAGAAAATATCCATAAGAATGGTTTCAGGGATGAGGAACGTTGGCTACATGGAAAGCTTGGAGTAGGTGGCGTTGCTATACTTGAAGAGAGGCCTGGTCTGCATGTGACTGCATACCCACAAGCAATGTGGTTGACTTCTAACTGCCCTCTGAAATGCCCAAGAGCCACTCCATTTAATAATTAGGGATGGGCAATAAGTGCTGGTCTTGACAGAAACACACAAGTCCCATGTAAGATTTTTTTTTTTTTTAAGAAAAACTTCTTTCTTCTATTAATGCACTTTTCCCAACCTACTTATTTGACCAAGCTTTTGGATACCAGGTGTAACATCTTGTTGTGTGGGTGTCAAATTTTGTTTGAACAGTCCTTTGGAGTACATTTAGGGCCTTTTATTAAAGGTAATGGTGCTGGGAAACAAGGCATTTCATCTTTTTGGTCATCTTGGACAGCCGATACAGTTCCAGGTGTTCTGTGATCTTTCCAGTAAAATTAATTTGTCCAATCATTTGTTGATATTATAAATGTTATGAGTTTATTTTGTCTGCTACTGAAACAAAGGCTAGTTCCTAAGCATAAGACAACAAAAATTATTAAAGATTTTTACTACCATTGAATCACTCCTGTTAACCTTTGCTGGCACCCTGTGCTGGCATTGCTTTTTTTTTGGGGGGGGGATAAAATAAACTGGAAGAATCACAGGAAATTTTATTTTAAATATAGTTCATCAGAGGTTAGTTGTTTCCAAAACAGTATCCTGGATTTATCTAGTTAATACCGACATAGATTGTTATCAACAGCTGGGGATCAATCAGTGTAAGTTGGTAATTGGCGCATTCACCTTTTGAACCAGAAAGTTGTTTAAGTCAACCTCCTTGAGCCCATAATCTATGCTGACATTCCTGTGTACTGTTATTTTTGAGGTGAGATGATAAAACCATAATTACATTTTACAATTGTATTTTATTATTTTTCCCTTTTCCTGTCTGCCCTTGAGGGCTGATGTGATTGATGCCCCTGACTCAAAGCAGATGGTGTCTGACATTTATCTTCAACCAACGTAACTTAAAACAGAACATCACCTTTATTGCTGTCTGTGGTACCTGAGCCGTTCAAATTGGCTGCTCCAGTACCTTTTTTTTCAAGTCTGTGAAGCCACTTCAAAAAATACTTCAGCAGCTCAGAAATGCTTTCTGAGATACTGATGTGTTGGTAAATGCTGTATAAGTGCAAGTTCAAAAAAAAAGGGACTGAAATTCTTGTTAAAGGAAGCATCTATTGAATAGTTCATTCTCATAGTCTATGCTGCAGGAGCTGGCTGTTGAATAATAAGGTGATATATTTAAAGCTTGTTAACTAATTTGTGTAAGTTATTTTGGTTTATGACTTTTTTTGTATAAATGTGTAATGATTTCTTGTAACAAAAATATGTACTTTTTAAAATGTAAATTGCTGATTGACCAATACTTGTTAAACATAGTTTGTACTTCCATACAAAACATTGTTCATTCAAAAATTGGTGACCAACAAGTACTTTGTTATTATCAGAATAGCTATTGCATAAAATGGTTTTCTTCAAATTGTTTACTTTGCCTTTTTGTTCCTTTGCTGCATAAAAATCTTGTTTCTTTGCTCTGCTAGGGTTATGGGAATTAGTTGGAGAGGAAAATTTTGGTGAATTGGGAAGGAAGAGTGTGGTATTGAGTAAGGAGGCTCATTTAACAAGCTGGTGCAGACACGATGGGTCGAATGGCATTGTTACATGCCATAACACTTCTGTGATTCTGTGTGAGTGGTAGTGAGATGGGGCAGAATTGCAGGCCAGTTTCACCTGATTGGACGTTACATGTTCCATCAGAGATTGCGTGGAAACAAATTGTACAAGAGAACTGAATCTGTCAGAAGTTTGGGATGACCTTTTAGTTTCCTTTTGTGTCGGAAGCATGTGATTTCTCCCATGACCAAATCAAAAGTTTATGGGTTCTCTCCAGAGACTTAAACAGGAAATCTAGACTGAAACACCCAATGCAATATTGTTGGAATAGCTGTCATTTGGATGAAATCAAAATCCAAAGTCCTTACTTTCTATTATTAAAGAGGTTAAGGAATTTGAGGCAAAGGCCTCAATTAGGCCTCACATACAGGATGTTGCCAGGAATGAAGTCCTTGAGATATAAAAATCAACTGGAAAGGCTAGGACTTTTTTCACTGGAGCATAGGAAGTTGGGCGGGTGACCTTATTGAGATTTATAAAATCATGCGGCGCATAGATATGGTGAATGACCAGGGTCTCTTACCTAGCATGGGGGAGTTCAAAACGAGGGGGCATATTTTTAAGGAGAGAGGAGAAAGATTTAAAAAAGACATGAGGGACAACTTATTTTACAGTGATTCGTGCTTGGAATGCACTGCCAGAGAAAGTGGCGGATGCAGGTGCATTTACAACATTAAAAGATGTTTGGATAAGTTCATGAGTAGGGAAGGGTTTGGAGGGATATGGGCCAAGCTAAGGCAGGCAGGAATAGTTTAGTTTGGGAACGTGGTCTGTATGTACTGGTTGGACCAAAGAGTCTGTCTCCATGCTGTATGACTCTGACTCTCTATCATTCGAGATATCATGGACTGGCAGAACAGACCTGAGAGGTAAATGACTACTCTCATTCTTGTATTCATTCTTTATGTTACAGCTGCATTTTTTGATGATGATCAGGGAAGGTTACCCGATTAAAAACAGGAAGAACCACGGATGGTGGAAATCAAACAAAAGCAGAAGTTGCTGGAAAAGCTCAGCAGGTCTGGCAGCATCTGTAAAGAGAAATTAGAGTTAACATTTCGGATCCCGTGACCCTTCCTCAGAACCTTCCTTTGAAAGTCTTGGTCAACAATAAAGAGTCAACTAATATCAATAAAGGAGATTATGTCGTCACTTAGCTTCTTGTTGTAGGATCTTGTGTTTCGCAAACTGGGGACTGTATTTCCTGCAAAAGCTTACTTTTTATTGGCAATAACTGCTTTAGGATGTTATAGAAGTTACAGGTTTCATTTAGTCGGCTAGGATGCACACGAGGGTCAACCTGGATTATGCCTTTGAAGTGAGCTCATCACTTTCTGTTTAAGCTTAACTAAACATTTGAATATTATTTGCAATTTATAATGTAATACCTCCCAAAATGTATCATTGTACGCTTGTGATTCTGCTTCCCCCGCCCCCACACCCCGCTTGAGATATTTTACAACATTAAAGGTATTATTCGATTTCAAGTTGTAAAATTAGATCATGGTTGATCTGTATCTTAACTCCATTTAACCAATTCAGTTCCTTTATCTTGCCTAAGAAACCTAGAATCATACACCAAAGAAGAAGCTCTTTGACCATCTGAGTCTGTACTACCAAAAATAAGTTACTATTTACACTAGTCCCACTTTTCCAGATGAAGCCTATGTTATGTCACTTGAAGTGCTCATCCACGTACTTTTAAAGATTGTGAGGTTACCTGCCTCAACTACCCTCCCAGAACCATACCACCCTCTGAATCTTTTTCCTCAAATCCCCACTAAAACTCCTGCCCCTAACCATAAAGCTATGTCCCCTTGTTGTCGATCCTTTGAATTAGGGGAACAGCTGCTCACTGTGTCCATGTCCCTTGTGAGCTTATACCAAGTGCCCCTTCAACCTTCTCTACTCCAAAGAAAACATCCTGAGCTTATACAGCCTCTCTTCATAGCTGAAATGTTCCATCCCAGACAACATCCTAGTGAATGTCCTCTGCACTCCCTCCAGTACCTAACTGGCCTAACCAAAGTTTTATACAGCTCCAACATAACCTCCCTATCTTATAATCTGTAAGTTTGTCTTTCTCCATGAAATACAACTTTGTATCTAGAATTATTCACAGATTCCCAGAGTAGAAATATTAATTACTAAGGGGCATAGGCTTAATTTATCAGGAGGAAAGTTTAAAGGAGATGTGAGAGGCGCGTTTTTGCACTGAAGTTGGTAAGTGCTTGGAATGTACTGCCAGAGAAGGTGGTAAAAGCAGATACAATAATGACGTTTAACAGACATCTTGACAGATACATGAATAGGCAGGAAATGGTCTGTATCCCTGTGTAGAGGCAAAAGGTGTTTAGTTCAGAAAGACATCATGTGTTGGCCCAGACTTGCTAGGCCCAAGGGCCTATTCCTGTGCTGTACTGTTCTTTTTTTTTTCTTTTATTACAGACAATAAGACAAAAGAGAACGTAGGGACAAGAATAAGCATTCAGCTGCACAAGCCTCCTCTGCCTCAGTCACATCTACTTCTTTTCTTGAACTGTCATGCGTGGAGCTGGTGGTTTGGCAAATGGTGGGGGTGGGGTGCAGAGAGTTCAAGATTTCCACTCTGTGTGTAAAGAGCTCCTTTGATCCTCTTAAACACTTCAATTAGGCCAACTCTTAATCTCCCCAAGGAAATAAAAGATATGTTTATGTAATTGTAACTGATCCCCAAACTTGACCCCTTATTTAGCTACTTGGAATGAGAGAGGATATAAAATGTGAGGCTGGAAGAAATTGTGAAGAGAGGGAAAAATGAGGAATTGAGTGGAATCAACCTATCAGATGACATCATTGGAATAGATGTATGTGAGTGAGTCATAGACAATATTCAGTTTGTGAACAAAAGGCTGATGCCTGATATATCATGTGTCCTTTAGGATCTGGCCTAAATATGACTCTAGTCATAGAGCCATATGGCACAAAAACAGGCCCTTCAGTCCAACTAGTCTATGCTGAACATAATCCCAATCTAAACGAGTCCCATCTGCTGCTCCTGGCCCATATACCTCCAACCTTTCCTATTCATGTACTTATCTAAGTGTCCTTTAAATGTTGTAACTGTGCCCATATCCACCACTTCCTCAGGAAGCTTATTCTACACACGAACCACTCTCTGTATTAAAAAAAAAAACTGGCCTTGATGTATTTTTTTTAAATTTCTCTCCTTTCACCTTAGAAATATGTCCCCTAGTCTTGAACTACCCCACCCTAGGGTTAATGGTAGATGTCTTTTCCCTATCAATACTCCTATGATTTTATAACCCTCTATAGGGTCATCTCTTAACCTCCAACGCTTTTGTGGAAAATGTCCCAGCCTACCTAGGATTTCTTTATAATTCAACATTCCATACCTGGCAACATCCTGGTAAATCTCTTCTGAAACCTCTCTTAATTAACAAATTCCTTCCTAGAGCAAGGCACCCAGAACTGGACACCGTACTCCAGAAAAGGCCTCACCAAGGTCGTATACAACATCATCCTGACTTCCCAACTCCTATACTCAAAAGAGTGAGCAATGCAGGTAAGAATACTAAACACCTTTTAACCATCATTTCTACGTGTGATGCAAACTTCAAAGAATTGTGTACCTGCACCACTGGGTTCCTTGCATTTATCCAAATTAAACTTCATCTGCCATTAGTCCTACAATAACTGACTTTTGCACTCTCCTGATACGTCTTTGGATGTTCTACTACCTTAGGAAAGCATATTCTTTGGATGCACCACAGCTTTGTATGACAATCACTGCAAGAAATTAGAGTTGTGAACCGCAGCCTAGTCCTTCATCCATTGACTCCGTCTACACTTCCTGCTGCCTCGGAATAGCAGCCAACAGAACCAAAGACCCTTGCCACCCCAGTTATACTTTCTTACTCCCTCTTATATTGGGCAGAAGATACAAAAGTTTGAAAACACATTTGATTTAAGAACTGCTTCTTTCCTGCTGTTATCAGACTTACGAACAGACCCCTTATATATTTGAGTTGATCTTTCTCTGCACCTCCTCTGTAGCTGTAATGTTATATTCTACATTCTGTTCTGTTACCCTGATGTACTTATGTAAGGTATGATTTGTCTGGTTAGCATGCAAAACAATATTCTTTGCAGTATCTTGGTACATGTCACAATAAATCAAATCAAATTAAGGAAAAGATAAATAGGACTAGAAATAGAAAAATAAGACCAATGAATGTGTGGCTCAAGAATTAGTGCAAGAGATTTCTGGATCACTGGAACTGTTTCTGAGGAAGGTGGGACATGTACAATTGGGATGGTCTGCATCTGAAATACACTGAGACCAATATCCTTGCGGATATCCTTTGAAGGAATTCAACTACTCTGGCAGGGGCAGGGGTCACACAATATCGATTAAAAATCGATAGACATCACGCTACAGCAAAAGGAAGCAAGTCACAGTGAGTTCAGCTATGTTGAATGGATTCCTTGAAACATATCCAGGAGAGATTTTTGTATCAATACACAGAAGGCCCAACAAGGGACAGCGTAGTGCTAGATCTGGTTCTGGTGAAAGAAGCTGGCCAAGTGTTCAATAGCAACCACAAAACAGTACAGTTCAAATTTGTTCAAGACTAGGAAAAAAGATGGCCCGCAAAAGATGGCTTTGGACTGGGGTGAAGACAGGTTTTACTAAAATAAAGCAGGATCTGGCCACAGTAGACTGGGAACAGCTCCTTGTGGGTAAGTCTACAGCACAGCAATGGGGCGGGGGGGGGCATTCAAAAAGGAGCTGGGGAGAGTACA